GGGGGCCCCCGGGGTCCCGGGGGCCCCCTGGGGGTGTTCCCTCTAAATGCATGCAGCAGCAGCTGCAGCAGCTGCTGCCGTTTGCTGTCGGTGGCAAGCCACTGGCATGCTGCGCTGAGGCCGCGGTTTCCCTCGTCGATGCAGCAGCAGCAGCAGCTGCGGCGCCCTCAGCAGCAGCAGCAGCAGCAGCAGCAGGTGTTTAGCAGCGGGGAAGCCAAAGACATGGGGGGGGGCCCCCCCCTGCTGCACCTCCTTTTGGCTGGCGGTGTCACTGTTGCTCTTTTGTGGCTGCTGGAGAGACACCGCAGAGAAGAAGCAGCAGCAGCAGAAGCAGCAGCAGCTGCTGCAGCAGCAGCAGCTGCCTCGCGCTTCAACGGCTTCGGCTGGCTCTGGCCCAGCTGGCCCTTCGGCAGCAGCAGCAGCAGCAGCAGCAGCAGCATGGAACTCGAGGGGCCCCTAGCTGACCCATGGGTCTTGTGGGGCCCCGGGGGCCCCCAGTGGGCCCCTGATTGGGGGCCCCCACTTTTTGACTTTTTCTTTCAGCCGCGGCAGTGGCTGCCTGTGCGAGCGCAGCAGCAGCAGCAGCAGCAGCAGCAGCAGCAGCGGAGCTTCTGGGGCAGCTCTGCTGCTGCTTCCCGCCTGCTGCTGTACACGGCCGGAGCAGTATTCCTCTCTTGGCGTGTTGCTGCTGCTGCAGCAAACAGCAGCACCTGGGGCAGCAAGCTGCTGCAGCTGCTGCTGCGGCACTTCACCGCCTCCCGCGAGGCCCTCAGGGCTGGCAGGCTGCACACAATCTTCACGGCCAGTAAGTTAGCAGCAGCAGCAGCAGCAGCAAGTGCAGCAGCAGCAGCAGCAACTGCTGCAGAAGCAGCAACTGCAGCAGAAGCTGCAGCAGCAGCAGCAGCAGCAGAAGCAGCCACTCACTTGGTGCCTCTTTGCACAGTGCCTTTTCATTTGCTGTGCTGCCCTCACGCTGTTGGTGTCCGTGCCGCTGCTGCAGCTGCTGTTGCTGCTTCCACTGCTGCTAATTTGAATGCTTCACCCGCTGCTGCTGCTGCTGCTGCGCAGGTTTGAGCCACGCGGGCCTGCCGCACTTCCTGATGAACTGCTTCCTGCTGCAGCTGCTGCTGCAGCAGCTGGAGCCCGTGCTGCGGGGCCAGGACGTGTGGGGTTTGCTGCTGCTGTCCTCGCTGCTGGGAGTTGCTGCTCACATTTGCTGCAGCACAGTGCCAGTCTTGGGGGCCTCCAGCTTCGCCTGCTGCCTCCTTTGGGTTGAAGGGGTTTGCCGCAGCAGAGACACCTTCATGACAATACTGCCTCTCCCGGGTACCTTGCTGCTGCTGCTGCTGCTGCTGCTGCTGCTGCTGCTGCTGTTGCTGTCGCCTTCGTCGTGGTGCTTCTGCTGCTGCTGTTGCTGTCTTTGTCGTGGTCCTGCTGCTGCTGCCTCCTTTGCTGCTGCTGCAGCAACGCTTGTCTCAATTGCTGCTGCTGCTGCTGCTGCAACGTTTATCCGAGGTGCTGCTGTTGCTCTTGCTGGCGTTCTTTCGTTTGCTGCTGCTGCTGCTTTTGCTGCGGGTGTCTCGTGTGCCCCTGCTGCTGCCGGAGATGCCACTACTGCTGCTAGCAACGCCTTTGCTGCCACTTTTGCCGCTGCTGACAAAACCCTTTCCCGCCGCCGCCGCTGCTGCTGCTGCTGCTGCTGCTGCTGCTGCTGCTGCTGGTTTGCAGGTCTGATGCTGACTGCGTTGCAGCTGTCGCAGCTGAACTTGTCTTTAAATGTTTTATTTTATTTAATTTCGAAGTTCGGAAAAGGAAAAGTGGCGCTGCTGCTGCGCTCGGTTTCCTGGGCGGGCCATTTGGGGGGCATTGCTGCGGGGTGTATGTACACCGAAGCCAAAAGAAAACTCGACGCCGACCCCCGCTGGGGCTCCTTCCTCAACTTGTCTTATGCCTTTTCCGCGCATGATTGGTCTGCTGCTGCTGCTGCTGCTGCTGCTGTTGCTGTTGCTGCTGCTGCTGCTGTTGCTGCTGCTGTTGCTGCTGCTGCTGCTGGTGCTGTTGCTGTTGCTGGGGTTGCTGCTGTTGCTGTTGCTGCTGCGGTTGCTGCGGCTGTTGCTGCTGGTGCGGTTGCTAGGGTTGCTGCTGTTGTTGCAGTTGATGGGATTGCTGCTGCTGTTGCGGTTGCTGCGGCTGCTGCTGCTGTTGCAGCGGCGTTCGCTGCGGCGTTGACGTGTGTCGCTGTTGCTGCTGCTGCTGCACCTTTTGGCAGCTCCTTGCTGCTTTTGGCAGGCGGCTGCTTCAATTTCTACTGCTGCCCGATTTGCTGCACTGTGTCCTGCGGCTACCTTTGCTGCTGTTGCTGCTGCTGCTGCTGCTTTTGCTGCTGCTGCTGTTTATGGGTAAAAGTGCGTTTGTGTGCTGCTGCCTCCGCAGGCAAAACACCACGGCAGGTAACTTGCTGTTTCTCAGCAGCAGCAAGCCGCGTCTTTCGCCTTTGGTAGTTAGAGCTTAGGGTTTGGGCAGCAGGGGTTTAGGGTTTAGGGTTTAGGGTTTAGGGTTTGGGTTCAACTGCGGAATGCCCTGCCTTTGCAGACCTCCGCGACACGCTAAAAATCATGGGCCTGCAAATCCGTTTGCTTGTAAGCCAGTGGCCAGCAGCAGCAGCAGCAGCAGCAGCAGCAGTAGCAGCATAGCAGCAGCAGCACTAGCAGCGGGCCCAGAGCAGCAACTTTAGCAACAACTGCACAAGCTCGAAAAGCTCAACGAGCGTGGAACTGAGCTGTGCTGCTGTTGCCACTGCTGTTGCTGCTACTACTACTACTACTGCTGCTGCTGCTGCTGCTGCTGCTGTGCTGCAGTTTTGTGGGTGCCACTGCTGTTGCTGCTACTACTACTACTACTACTGCTGCTGCTGCTGCTGCTGCTGCTGTGCTGCAGTTTTGTGGGGAGAGCGAGGGACAGCTAACGCGGCTGCGGCTGGAACACATTCGGAGGCAGCGGGAGCTGCGTCGGGCCTACGGATGCAGCTAACTGCTTGCAGCTGCAGCAGGTGCAGCAGCTGCTTTGCTGCTGCTGCAGCTGCAGCAGCAGCAGCTTATGCTGCAGCAAACCGGCAGCTGCAGCAAAACTAGAAGCTGCAGCGAGCTTGGGCCCCTGCTACACCCCGCCTCCCGCTGCGCCCAACAATCTCATTTATCGCTGTTTCAACACAGTCTCAAAAGTCCAGTTCTTTTGTCTTTTTTGCCGCTGCTCCTGCTGCTGCTGCTGCTGCTGCTGCTGCTGCTGCTGCTGCTGCTGCACTTCGTCTAGATTTATCGCAGTCCCCAGGCCCCGCAGGGCATGTGGCGCTCTCTCATTGGTCGAGCTTATATACAGAAAAGGAAAATCCTGCTGCTGCTCTCGCTGCTGCTGCTGCTGCTCGTGCTGCTGCTGCCCTAGCATCAATACTAGCACCGATGAAGATGCTAGACCTCTAATCAATATTATTATTTTGCTGCTTGCTGCTGCCCGCAGCAGCTGGGGCCAGGCTCAAAGGCCCTAAATCTAATATATCGGCAGCGGGACGCGCAGCCTTTTGGGCCCATTTAGCTGCTGCTGCTGCTGCTGCTGGACCTCTTTTGGGGAGAACTCCTCAGCTTGCTTTTCCGGGGACACCCTCAGCGCAGCAGCAGTGGCAGCTGCTGCTGCTGCTGCTGCTGCAGTAAAGGCTGGAAAGTGCAGCCTGCAGAGATATCCTGCAGAGATATCCGAAGTTTTTGGTGCGCAGCGCGCAGTCACTAACGCCCAACGGGCTGTATGTACACCGCAGCTCTCATTAGAATTAAAAATTAAAAAATGAATTTTTCTTTTTTCTTGGAGGCCCACAAAAAGGCATTATAACAGCAGCAAATGGCATTTGAAGAGCAGCAAAAAGAATATAAATAAGACTGGTGTTTTCACGAAGTAATAAACCCTAAACCCTACCCCCACGGAAACCCTAGCCCGTAAACCCTAGACAAACCCGCAGGCGGGTCTGCAGTCCACGCATTCCTGCAGCCTCTCCATAAACCCTAAAACCTAAACCCTGGATATGAATTAATATTTAAATTCATTTTTTATTTTGCTGCTGCTGCACTAGAATTATTTTGCTGCCTTTGGGGTCTCCCGAGACTCCCGAGGCTGGGGTCGTCGGCGGCGTGCACGGCGAGAGGCCTGCAGGCCAAAACTTCAGCAAAGTGCGTAAATAACTAATTAATTGATTAATAAATAAGTAAATACACAAATAAATAAATTTATTAATTTATTAATTTTTACTATTTCAATCAAAACACTGAGTCGGAGAGAGAACGTGGAGTCAGGCAGCGAGCAGCCGGTGGTCCTCGTCGGCTGCAGGCCGCTGCTGCGGATTTTCGTTCTTCTTGCCAGTTTTTGGGTTTTTAAAGTTAATTTTTTAAATTTAAATGAGTTAAAAAGAGAAAAAGAAATTTAAAGAGCTATTGGGAAGGTTAGGGAGGCGGCCAGCAACCTGGACAGCGATAGGGGGCTCGGGAGCGCCGGGGTGTCTGAACATCCCTGTCGCTCACGGCGTGTGGGTCTTCGCGGGGGGCGTTCCGGGGGCTCAGTCTGGAATTAGATGTAAATTTTAAATGGATAAACCTTTTAAAATAGTTTTAATTGAATTTTTTTGTTTTTTACCGGCGGCGCGGGACCTGCGGGCGGCGTGGTCTCGCCGCTGTTGTGTGTGCGCCTCTGTCTCGGCTCTGGGCCCTTTCCGGCACTCGAGCAGCCCCGGGGCCCTTTCTTTCTCCTTTAAAGTTCATTTTAAATATTTAAAAAGGTTATTTTTGTCTTTTTGCGTCACTGCTGGGGTTGAATCCCGATGGGCTCCGCGTCGCCGCCGCCTCCGCCGTCGCCTAGCGCCTCGGGGGCCCCCGGGGGCCCCCCGGGGGCCCCCCGGAAGGGGCTGAGGGGCCGCCGGTGGGGGGCCCCCTGGAAGGGGCTGAGGGGCCGCTGGTGGGGGGCCCCCGGGGAGGGGGGCCCCCCGCGGGGGCCCGCGCTGTGGGGCCTGCTGGCCCCGTTTATGGCGGCGAAGAAGGTGGAGGCGGTGCTGCTGGGGGGGGGGGCCCTCCTGGGGGCCCTCTCGGGGCTGCTGCTGCCGTACTTTTTCAAGTCCATGGGAGCCACAATAGACAACCTGAGCAGCGGGGTGGACGTGGGGGGCCCCGTGAAGCAAATGGCAGCAGCGGGGGCGCTGAACTTGGTGCTGCAGGGCGTGTCTTGCTTCTGCTTCGAAGCAGCAGCAGACCGGCTGGTGGCGCGGCAGCGCAGCAGCTACGTTGCTGCTGTGCTGCAGCAGCAACTCAGCTGGTTCGACCGCCAAGACGCGGGCTCTTTGGCAGCAAAACTCGACAGCAGTTTGGCAGACTTGCGCGAGGGGATCGGCATGAAGTTTGTGGCGATCCCGTACAACTTGCTGCTGGTTGTGGGGTCTCTTGCTGTTGCACTTGCAACATCTTGGCAAGTGACTCTGTGTGCTGCAGCAGGTTTGCTGCCAGCTGTGGCTTTCGGGGCGCTTCTCGCGGGGGCCCTGCGCCGCGCTGCTGCTGCTGCTGCTGCTGCTCTCGAAGCTGCGGGTGCCGTTGCTGCAGAGACCCTGGGGGCCCCCCGCACCGTTGCTGCCTTCGGCCAGGAGGGGGCCTCCAGGGCCCGCTACGAGCAGCACATAGCAGCAGCAGAAGCTGCTGCTGCTCGCGGGGGCCTCTTTTCTGGACTAGGAATGGCTGGACTTATTTCTTCGGTCTTCGCCATGTTTGCCCTCGTCTTTTACCTCAGCGGAAGAAAAGTTGCTGCCGGCTGGGAGCAGCTGCTGCA